TATTATATACAAGTATGTAAAAACTGTAACGTGTGTACTGAATAACGGCGCAATATAAATAAATACTTCTTTACAAAAGAGTAACATTCTTCTGAGTTTATATATTCAGGTTTTTCGTATTTAACTTGAAAAACGATTTAGTTTGAAAACATTACTTTTCTGTAGTTTACGCGAGTAGTACACATTTAAACATAACACTTTAACGGTGTAAAACGCAATATTCATTAGGCTTAAAATAATTTTCAAATAAGTTTAACTAATATATGTCGAGTTTTAAACCGTTACATTATTTTATTTAGCTTTTACTTGATCAATTAGGTAAAGCAACAGCACGGAACGTTGTAGATGCCGGTTCTGTCCGACGAGTCCTGCCCGTGTCGTAATTTTTTTCGCCGTCGTCAAGAGAATTAAAAGTATAAAATTATAAAGCACGATAAAGCAGTACTCTCACTTCCACTTGAAATTCAGCTTCTAGTTTGAGAGAGTATAATATCTACGATTCTAACAGCGGTTTCCACCAGCCAGTTGCAGTGTGGCTTTTAAGTAATATTCAAATTGCATTTACCCTACTTTGAATTGGGACCAAGCCAGAGACTGCGGACTGAATTGACTAAGTGCTAATGTGTTTTTGAACAACATTACTCTATGAGAAAAATGCAAAGGCTTACTTGTAAATATATCGTGTGGACTATAATTGTGTCCTACAAACTAAAACAATTTGTCGGGCTCGGTTGTGTTATGGTAGCTGGATTTAGATCGTAGCTTCGATCCCCATTGGTTCCAACATTTTTTTTTTCAGAAACATGTTAGACCACGTCTTAATATCTAGATATTAAATGGATGGTAGGAATAATGAAATATCGTCTGTGTCACGTCACATCGTCCACAGATGTGGGTTCCAGTTTCAGTCAGTGGATTTCCGAATATCCAAAAGGCCAACAGTGCATCTTGTTTACATATTATTATTATAAGATATCCTCATTGTAAGTCCTCTTCTAACATAAAAATATGAAAAAAGAAATACATATGTCGTTTATAACTTCTAAATAAGATTCATACAATTTAATTAAATCCAAACAATGTTTCGTTCTGGTAACAATACGTAATACAGCATTTGCTTTGAGCGCATTGCACCGTGGGTCGTGACCTTCTAGATCGTAGCCCTGGTGACGTCACACAGGAATTCACTTTACAACGACAAAGTACGAGATAGCTATGTTTTCATTTGAAAATATTTTCCGCGCCAAATGTACTCTCGATGAAAATTTATTAAAAATTCTCACATGTCAGTTGGCGAAACTAATATTTACAGTCTGCGCAGTGTTTTAATTAAAATTGTATTCTAATAAAAATACAATATTTCTCATATTAAGATACGGTAATTATATAGTGAGACAAATTTACTAGTTCCAGGACTATTTGTAAATTGTCTAGTCTGTTTCCTAATCTTTGATCGGTAGCTATAGACAGATATTGTTTTATTTTATTGTTTATTATTATTGTAGCATGTAGTTCACTTGGAAGGTGAAATTACCCAGTCATGTAATATCTTGACAAGATGTGCTATCGACCTTTTAATATTCCATAGAATAAAAAATAAAACTGAAAAGCGACTTTTTCATCTATGGACGGTGCTCGTGACCCGGACTACATTTCTTTATTTCAATCACCTATTTAATTTAACCAGCCCTGAAAAGTCATGATCATTCAAAACAATTCTCTCTTGTCGTGTCGTATTTGGACAACTTAATGATTTCAAAGGACTTTCCTTAATACATACAGATGTTTTATGTTTTTAACGAATTATTTTTGTATCTTCGTAAAATGTGTACTTAAAACTTTCATAATGTTAATACTTAACGTATCCCGTGTTAACTTAACCTCAGCTACAAAAATAAGCTTTATTTGTACAATTGTTATCGGTTATATCTTGTACTATCCCGTGCCATTCAGTAGGGGTGAATATACAGTTTAGCGATCTACATTGACATACAAGTTATCTTGAATCAGCAAGATTGTGTATAATCATAAATATGCTACGAAACTAGATTTTAAGTTATAGAAACACAAGTACAGTGTTTTAAAATTCTGAACTTTTAAAAATTAAAAATAGCAATTAATAATACCGGTAGCATTCGATTTTCAAACGTTTTATGTATGCGTTGACAGTACGTTTGATTCTCGTTCATATCAAAGTTCTGCATACGTAAGGATAAACACTTGTTCTTCCGACATATGACAAGATCCGGACACATTTCTGCACCTGTTTGAAAAATAACATGCATAAGTATTAATTATAACAATATATTATAGCATGAAGTGGATAGCAAGTTGAAAATGCAAGTTGCACTGCACACTGACAAGGGTCATTGTTCTGTATATGTTTGATTGTTTCACTCAATTCATTTAAGTATTTTTTGTTCGCTTCAAAAGGATCAAGTCGAAGTGCTCAGACGGAAAGAAAATTACTTTTTGCCACTATCTAAGCTCCCATATCGTTACAGAAAGCATTGCTTTCAATTTACATAAGTCTCCAATGGAGAGACCGTTCCCAATAAAATAGTTTTAATCAGCAGAACTTTAAAAACCACATGTAAGACCTAAATTCACTAAAAAATAAACTATTACCGTCTTATCCGTAATAGTTTATTTTTTAGTCCGATGTCCACTTGACATAAGCTTTTACTTAATACTAGCAGCGCCAGCGACTTCATCCGTGTAAAATAGTTGTTTTCGTCAAAATTTGCTAATGAGAAATTCAAGATTTTTTTCCGAATCATGATAGCTGTTATTGTTTTAATATGATTCCTTACCTTTACATTGGTCTTGCAAAAATTAGTAAATCGATTAATATTGTGTCCGATTCACTCTATGAATTTTCGAAAGTCAGGTCGGCGGCGCATCGAAATTAGATGCTAAAGGTCTGGGCCACTCCATCTTTCACCAACTGTTCGTGTGTTTTTCTTTTTTGTAAAGCTATAAGTGTAATCAATATGAAGAATATCTTTCCATTTAAAACACTTTAATGGTACTACTCACGTAAACTACGGACAGTATAAATATCTTTCATTTCATGGTCAAATGATGTTGGTTATTTCTTCGAAAGTTTGAAAGGCCGAATAAAACCGAATATCCAATATTTTGTTTTTATTTCTGGATAGCGATGAAAAAAGCGAGTCAACAAATCCTCTTATGAATTCGTTTCCGCGTGAATGTAGCAGAGTGCTCCACGGAATCCATTTCGAGGATAAAAGAAGTCTCTATGTGTTCAATAAAAAAAACGTAGAGGGCGCGCTTTTATGCGAAAAAAAGGCTTTGTCAAAGTGCGAACTGTTTTTACAGACCGGATTTCAAAACTCTATTGAAGACGTTATTGTATGACACTTGTTGACATAAATAATAATGATACGTATAATGCATGGTAAAAAATATGTTTTTTACGAGCCGTTTCAATATTTCTTTGTTTTTTTCGTTATATAGAAACAAAAGGTAGTGGTAATCTGGTCAATGATCACGGGTTGTGGGAATCTAGATCATTTAAAATCGAAAATAAGTTGAAAAAAAATTCGACTCGCGCAAGACTTGAACTGGCATCGTGAGCGTTCCATGCTGCTCTACCAATTGAGCTACCGAGTCCTACACCTCATCGTCAATATTAAAGTTTTCAATCTAATCAAAATAGCTCGACAGCACATCTAGTTTAGATATTACATGGCTAGGGTATTTCATTTTCCATCAAGTGAATCGCATGCTGTGTCCTCTTCTATTATAAAAAAAATGAGATACATACGCAGATATGAAACTATAAACCACGTAATAAGTAAAAAACACAAACCCATGTGTTATTCTAGTATGATTACCAAATCCATATGTTCTTTATTTGTCTTATCATTCCGAATCGTTTTACACCTCTTTAATAAAAATTAGATCAGTAGTTTACATTCAAAATATTAACAAACATACATAGACTGTCAAAAACATTACTCTCCTTTTATCCACGCCAGTGTCGGTTAAAGAGGCAATAAGTCTGTAAATAATTCCATTATTTTGAGCAGAAGATAGATGTAATTGAGCGCTATACTAAAGTTTGTAATAAAACCACGACCGTACAACCCTTCAGCGTAGTAACATTTGCATATATGTATTTGTACATATTACATACACTTATGTATATTTGTACATTTATGAGCTAGCGGCGACACTTGTAACATGTTATATTATCTAATATCTTAAATTATATTTTGCCGCTGTTTGTAAACGAAATGGAATAAATTATTTGAGTTTGTTACTCCTTTGTCTTCTGAATACGTGATGTGTATATATACAGTTTTTTTATCCCCATAATAATAATGGTAAGTCACTTTATTTGGGAATTCCCAAGTTTACCTAACTGGTAACGTATTTGTAAATAATTATGAATAAAATGAAGCATTTAAATAAAATACTTTAACGGTTTAAAACGCGACATATATTAGTTAAACTAATTTGAAAAATATTTTTTAATTCGGCCAGACGTTTTGGATGCTTTGCAGCAGCCGTGGTCACTGGTAGACCCGTTTTATTAGATAGACCGTTAAAGTGTTTTATTTAGATGTGCCCCACCCGCGCAAACTACAGGCAGTATTTAAAATAAGCAACTTAAATTAGATATAAGGTTATATTATTTTTGTCAAATCATACCATTGTTAGTGCACATGATAGCTTATATTATGAATTAAAATGTATTTTAATCGCTTTCGACTTGATTAGTATTTTTTTTTAATTGCGTTTCTTATATTTTTTTAATATAATCGTAGATTATGATGATCTAGATCTAGGTCTCTGTAGAGTATAGATCTAATCATGTGAAACCGTTTTACACATGATTTCAACGAAAAAAAAAATAAAAAGTTAATTGACATTCAAAGAAGAACACACGTTTGTATAGGAATATAGAAATCGTTATAATAATCGAGAATAATTATAATATTTATTTATTTTTTTTATCTTGAAGAAAGAAAATGGGTGAACCGGAGCTGAAAAAGAGTAAAGTTTCCATGTTGGATGTGAAAAGCCGTTCAAACACACGCTCAATGGTGGCCTTTGGACCAAAATCCATGAGTAGACTGAAAGTTCGACGTCAATCGTATGGCTTTGGTGGTGTTCCAGGAATCAGACCTGTTGAAAGGACTTCAAATGTATGTAATAATCTTCTCGTGTCCTATTTAAACAACGCTATGATAAGGCATTACTTATTTTAATAAAACGCCTACACAAACAAAATTATTCAAATAACGCTGATGTAAACAGTTTTCATAGACTTGTTTTATTAACAGAATTATGACAGTTGTGCATTAAATTAAATTAAATATAATTGTTTGTGTAATCTTAATGTTATAAGGTTTAAGTTGTATAAGTAACCATAAATAACTAAGACACTTACTAACTCTAACTTTTTTATATTTATAGAAATGCTCACTATTTATTCGATCATCAATCAATTACAATAAATACAAATGTAAAAATTCTTGCATAGAAATTATTAAGCATAAAGTAAATTTGATGTACTAAATTAAAAGAAACCTTTTATCGTTTTGTATGTTTACCGAAACTCCAACACAGTTCTCAAACCATCAACGCGTTTGCAAGCGCCGCCAACATGGCTACACAAATTTGGAGTGGTTTGAAAACTTCAGCGGTGGTTCATCCATGAGAATGACGTCGCGGACAAAAATTATACCTCACCTTCTATAATTAATTAGTTACTATTTTTAAATAAAACACTTTAACGGTTTAAAACGTGATTTTTACCTTCGGCCCGACGTTACGTTAGTTACTACTCGATGAAAAAACAAGTAAATTATTTTACGCTACTACGCAGACGCGTTAAGAGAGAGGGGGGAGGGGTGGCTGTTGGTGGACAATGCATGTTTATTATAATCAAATTAAAGAAGACTCCTTTCTTTTTTCAACTATGTATTCAAAAACTTATTATCTATTTCAGGTTGCGATAGAGTTTAAGCGGCCACCGCTTCTGTATTTGCCTACGTATCAGCTAACTTCGAGTTACCCATTTCATCTTCCCAGTGTGCAAAAAGCAGTGGACGAGTTGCTTGATGAACATTTTACAGATCACAAATATAGTGTGCAGGTAGGATATTTTGGAAAAAAAAATTTTTAGGGTGGGGGGGGGTTTTTGGTGGGAAAAAACAGAAATAATTAAATAAAACCCTTTAATGGTAGAAAACTTTATTATTTTTTATATATTATTACACATGAAGGCACTCGGGCAGGACATGAACCGGCATCGTAAGCGTTCCGTGCTGTTGCTCTACCAATTGTGTTACCGAGTCGACTCAATTGGTAGAGCAACAGTACGGTACGCTGACGATGCCGGTTCAAGTCCTGCCCGAGTTGAAAATTTTTTCAATTTCTTTTCGATTTTTAAATCACTTTTACTGGTTTCAAACGGCGAGGCTTCATAATATACAGCCTACCAGCGGCGCCTCATTATACTTTTCGCCAACGGAACCTTTAAGGCTCTGTTCATTCAGTAGGCGTATTTTTACAGGAATCTCCGGCCCTCGCACTTCGCTTGGCTGGTTTACTAATGCGTGCACTGAAAGCCATGGATTTCAACCGCTATAGAATAATAACTGTCGTCACAATAGGCCAGAAGAGAGCTCAAAGCTATAATAACGCTATTTCCTTCTTATGGGACCACGAGAGGGACAATTATGTGGACACGCAGAGGGAGGTGAACTCGGCGTTCATACAAGTTACTGCGTTTGGTGTTTATTTGGATTAATTATATGTTCCTAGTCATTATAATTATAGACCATTGTTGTTAATTTTAAATAAATTTTGTTTATAATTTAATGCTTGTTTGTATACTTTGTACTTAAAAATAACTTCATCGCTATGTTTCACCACGGTGGTATGCTCTCATGTAAAAATTAATTAAGTGGGGTGATCATATTAAGTATAACAAATAATTATGAAAATAAAAAAGCTTGTAACGGATTAAAAGGGGAAATATATTAGTCGATTTGTAAATTATTTATTTTTACTACAGCTCAACGGGGCAGATTCTTTGCAGCAGTCGTGGTACTAATGGTGGACTAATTGCGTAAATTATACAAGACAATAAGTAAGCAGATATTTATTACTACCGCTATTGTACTCGCGCTTTTAACTCAAGAGTAAAACTCCGTCACTGATTGACATATTATTTTTTTAATAATGAAAATACTAAACTTCAATTAGAGCTATCAAAATTTAACGACAACACAACAGCTGAACAGAATAGAATTAAGACGACGAACAAGATTTACTTGTTTACTCGTCTTGACATTTTACTTAGCGCCACTAGTATACATCGCTAGATTATATCAAAACCAACGCCCGAGGCGAGATTAATGTCAGAGAAAAAATAAGAAATATCGCAGCGTATCTTATAAGCTCCACATTTTCCATCATACTTAGCCACGGGATATAATCTCCGGTTGATCAGACCAACTCCATCAAAAGTTATCTAACTGATATCAACTGTGTTATATCTGATTATGTTATAGAGACTCGACGAGAAAATGGGAAATTCTTATGATAATATACATGTTTTCTTAGAAACATGATGTGAAAGAATGCTTGATATTTTAATACGAAGATAGAGACGCGATAGAGATGCGACATTTTTTTTAGATAATCGTAATAGATGAAGAAATAAGAATTAGCCATATCGTACACATTAACACTGACAATAACTTATGTTTATAAATAAAACACTTTAACGGTTTAAAACGCGATATATTTGCTTTGCAGCAGCCGTGGTCACGGGAAGACAGTCCCCGTGACCACGGCTGCCGCAAAGCATCCGAAATATCGGGCCGAAGTTAAAAATCATTTCCAAATAAGTTTAACTAATATATTGCGTTTTAAACCGTTAAAATGTTTTATTTAAATGTGTTGTACTCGCGTAAACTATAGACAGTATTTAATAACTTATATTACCAATAGCGCTTAACCAAGCGTGTATACAATCTATGCCTCCGACTTCGTTTGTGTTACTATACTGATATATAAGTAAAATTGTAAAGTAATATTACTTAAATATCTATTAATAGTCTTTATATTATTGTGAAATCTCGTTTACAAGGCTTTTATTTTAGTTCAAATGTTATGCTGTAGAAATGGTTGCTATGAAGTTGCTTATTTAGTGATGTACAGTTTTGGTTGGTATGTATAGTTTTGTTGGGAAACAAACATAGACATGGGTCTGTCCCACACCTATATAATGTTTTAAATAGTAGTTAATCCAACGTCTGATCTTGAATTTGATCCCTGTTCGTTCACCATATTTATTGTGACAAAATATATTTTAGAACCATCCTTAATATAACGTCCCAGCAGGACGCTATGAGGTCTTTAGGTGTTATGAAGTCTAGATTTTCATAAATTTAAACTATTAGCGTATACAGAACAATGGTCTCTTTATAACGTACAGGGTAAAGACGTTTCACTTCGTGATAGTCACGTTGTTTGAAACAAACTTGAACTAAGTTTTGCGGTTCCTTTGGAACTGTGAAAGTTTTCACCCGCATAAGTCCTACGGATCTACCCGTGACTATTATAAAATCCACGGCCCTTTCAAACGTACCGGAGATAAGATGCAATCGGATTTCCAACGTTTAATGCTAAGTCGCTTGACATTGTACATTAAAATTATATTGTATATTCTATGAAAGGAAGGAACAAAGTAGTGAAAACACAGTTGGAAAAAACTTGTAAGAAAGAGAAAGACTGGTGTTACAGGACCTAAACGGACGTCATATATTTGTGAATGGAATAAATATTCACGGCCTTCGTTCATTATCATTGTTTTTCACGTGATGGCGAAACGTCGCGAACCTCTTCTCGCCTACGTCGGCTGAACAGCTCGAAAAACAATGATATAGTGAATGGAATTTTTCTGTTTATGAATAAAACATATTTTCAAATTTTGTTGAAGTGATTTAATTATAAATGTGGCGTAATTCAAAGTAAAATACTTACCTGTATTGCTTTGTTAAAAAAAAAAAAATTAATTTTCACCTGTGGACGGTGGTTTGTGACCCAGACGAAGTCCAACATGTTACTGAAAAATTATAAATTGATAAAGAACATATAGATTATTACTCAAACCTTGATACCATGAGACCAAAATTAAAAACACGGCAAATATTGTTTGATTATTCATGCATTAAAAATTGACTATCTAAATTCAGCAACATAAAATGCGATTGGCTCTCGTTGAATTGTGCTTGAAAAATCTAATTTGCATACGTGTGTATTCTCTGGCACGTTTCTCGATTTTCCAAAATTTTATAACCCTTTCGTTGGTACATAGCTCCGTGCGATATCGACGCTTACAAATTAGTTTCAACTCATCTATTTAATTAATATGAGGCGGGGAGATGTTTTGATAGTGTTAACGGTTAATTGGATTTTCCAAATTATATACTACGCCAATAAAATTTTACGTAGTTATAATCGCACTCGTCGTCTTTACATTTATAAGCTACAGGTACAATTGTGAACACTACACAGTCATTAAACATATCCGATCCTGGTTTTAGGCAGGAGAGGTGTTAGATTCAAATCGGGAGAAAAAATCGTGGTTGGGTCATAAAAAGTTCAATTTTAAACACAAACTAAATTAAAACTCATCATTAATTTAGTTTGTTTAACTTACTTTTCACACATTCTTAAAACACAAAAGAACTACTTCTAACATTATGTATACCACAGACAGTATTAATAATGTTATTAGTAGCTATTTTATTTAGTTTACGCGAGTAGTACACATTTAAATAAAACACTTTAACGGCTTAAAACGACTCTCCCTGTGACCACGGCTGCTGCAAAGCATCCGAAACGGGCCGTCGTTAAAATAATTATCAAAAAAGTTTACCTAAGATATATCGCGTTTTGAACCGTCAAAGTGTTTTATTTAAACATCATTGATTCCCTGCATTAATCACTAAAACCACAGATAAAGAATATTGTGTTAGAAGTAACTGGCAACAAATAATACGAATAAATAAACATTTATTCTATTAAGACGTGTGCATTCAAAGTAATCGAGTCAAATAATAAAGGCTAGATTACCAGACGGTATAATTATTGCAAAAAGCATTTGTTAATAATCTTCTTGGTCAGTGTAGTTGTGCTTGCTTATCAAAGTTTTATATGTTATAATTATTTGTTTATTTGTTCATAAATCAAAACATGCGGTATGGGAAATTATTTAGGGATCTAATCTAAGGAATACAAACATCTTTTTTAATTTACCCTAAATTAACATCAAATATATTGTTTGCTTGTTTGTTTATTAGAACAGCTTTAGTAGCTTAGTAGTAGCATTTCGGTTGGAAAAGGCATAGAAGAATAATATATTTTTTCCTTCACCTGTGACCGTTAGTGAAATGTGTTTGATTATTGTGTAATATCAAACTTAGTTATCTGCACTATGGATTCAATATTATTTATTTATTCAAGAGTTCATCGCTTACGTATTGAAACGTTCAATAAAAACAAACGTTGCGAAAATTGATTTAATCCAGCCGAGAAACACAAAGATTGCGCTATTAAATATTTATACGTCAGTGTTGGAGCGATTCTTTCATGCAATGAACTGAGAACTACCTAACTATTTTCTTGTACTCAAATAAAAGTATGAATTTCGACAATTTTTTCATGACACATTTGAAGTTTTCACAAAAAGTGATCCCGTTTTCCCCCGAGGGGCAAGACGATAACACTATTTCCGTTTCTCTGTTTCTTTTACAGGCAAGTAGTTGATAAGACTTCTGTGCTTTGCCTGAAACAATGTATTGTTTCCCTGTGATTCGAACCCTGGACCGATCTCGTTTAATGATATGATAGGCAACACGTTTAACTATTTGGCTACAGAGGCGATCAGAAGATAAAAGATCGAAAGATAAATTATGACAAAGCGGGAGTCTAAACTTATAAATTCAAATAATTTAATCCACACGAAAGATCATACAAATTATATACATACAAAAATAATAATACAAGAAAATATAAAAATGGATTATAATAATCACATACATTGTTGTAGAAAGACATCGTTTAGTTGTCGCTGCAACAACAGATTTGAGGCAACGCCAATTTTCAGTGATGCCCCACGATTGATATACTTAGAGTGAAGTGAGAAATAATGAGAGAGTTATTAAAGAGGAAATACAAATATAAGTTTTTTAAATAAGCTATCATACGACAAAAATAAAAATATAATTACTTAATGCTAGCTCAAACAAGTACCTCGTAAAAAAACCTTTTAAGTTAAACGGTTTTATTTTTTGTGCACTGAAAATTACAAATATTTTAAATTTTGACATAATCATCGTGTTTTACTTGTGTAGTCTATTCAGTTAATACCCATATTGAGGGGGTGAAAGTTTGTATGGAAATTCAGTAAATAAATTATATAAGGGTATTTTAAAATTAATCAACTTAAAATTCCCCCTGAAATAACTCTTATGAATAACAAAATTATTATTATTTTTAATATAATATAATCTTCATCATAAAAAGTTCTGTCAAAATTCACAAGTTCAAGGTTTTTTCTAAAATATGTTTACACCTTTCGTCACGAATGTCCAAAACAATAACATTTCGTGCGAATGTTTAGTTGTAATTTCAAATTATATTTAACTTATGTAAGACATGCACAGGTAAAGGTTGACTTATGAAATATTTATTATAACCCTAATAATATTACAAATGGAACAAATAAAATGTATT